CGCTGCCTGAGGATGTCATCTGTAAAGTGCACTTGAAGAGCTTCGTGGAGCAGCAGGGCCTGGTGGGCTATGACCCCAATCTAGATGTCCTTCTCGGTGAGCCTGGCTCGTACAGCCACTCTAGTCTGACAGCAGGGGGGGTGTGAATGGCTGCAAACAGGCCTCTTTCCTTTTTTTCCAATTGTTTTTACAGAAACTATGGGGTTTTGTGATCCAAATTGCTTTCCCCTCTTACTCCCCTTCAGTCTGGCTTGAGCCAGAAACGCAGACAGCCTGGTGCAGAGCTGCTGGTGCAGGATGGCGGGGGAGGTGGCAAACCCTCGTGTCCTGCTCTGAGTGTCCTTCCTTCTTTCAGTGACAGAGGGGAAGCTGCGGTCGCTGGCTGAGCTGCAGCAAGCCGTTCTGCAGTGCACCGTGAGTAACCCTGCGGTGCTGCCTGCCTCTCGCTTTCCAGATGTCATTCCCTTCTGTCACATGACAGTGTTTGAGCTCCCTACTGTGCTCTGCTGCAGGCTGGGGGCCAGGGCAGCTGCTGCAGCATCGTGCATGTGGTGAGCTGCGAGGAGGAATTCCAGCAGCAGCAGCTGGATCTGCTCTGGAGGATTTTGGACCCAGGAGCCCACACAGCTTCGCAGGTGAGGAACCTCTGACCCTCTCACTGTGACTCCCAGCATCCTTGCACTCAGCCAGCCTCCTTCAATCCCCGCAGCAAATGCCAAGGCCCAGCTTTGCCCCTTTGTGAGGCTTCCCTTTCCCTTGGTGGCCTCCCCACGCTCTTGCCCTGGCGGTGGAGCAGCCTCTCTGCCCTTGGGATCTGAGTGCTAAAGAAGGAGGAGCAGGAGAACACCGCGGGGACACAGGGCTGGTTTTAGACAGGTTCTCCTGCACTGCATTTTGGTGGAGCTTCTGAGTCTTTGACCCCTGCCCTAGCCTCTCCTCTCTCTTCCAGAAACACCTTGTCTGCGGGCCAGTGAAGGTGACAAACCCCTCATCACCCATCGGGGCAGACCAGTACTTCCAGTAAGTTGGTGTGTGGCAAGTCACCTGCTCGCCTTGGGCTCGCCTGCCCAAGCCTCCCTGTGCTCTGCCCAGCCCTCTGGGCACCCAGGCAGCCACGCTGCAGCACTGAGCAAGCTGGTGGCACACAGAGTTCTGTGCAGTCCCTCTGTTCTGCTTTTCCGTGGCCCCAGGGCTGTTTTGAGAGGACTGGAGGTGCAGCACGGAGGCCACAGGACCCTCCCCAGTCCCAGTGCTGCTTCTGGCCCTCTCAGTGCTGCCAGGGGGCTGCTGGGAGGAAAGACAGCGGCAGGAACTGGGCGCCGCAGTGGTGCAGGGTGGTATCTCCTGCCTTCATGCGTTAGCGGATGGCCCTGGTGCAGGGGTGGCCCTTTCTCAGCCAAAAGGCAGAGCTTGTGCCCGGCCCAGCAGCTACCTTGCGGCCCTCTCCAGGCAGCCCCACAAGGGGCTGGCCGCAGTGTGGCTGTTCCTGCCCACCTCCTGGAGGTTTTGTACCGCTTTTGCTTGGCTGGGTCGCTGCTGCTGCAGCTGGGATGCCCTGAGCAGCCTGAAAGCTGGGGGAGCCCTGGGGTGCTCTCTGGGGCCAGTTCAGCCCAGGGGCAGTGGCTGAGTGTCATGTGTTCCTCCCAGGCTCCGAAAGCGCCAGATGTACAAAGCCTCTGTGGTGAAGTACGGGGAGCTTGCACAAGGTGAGGGTTTGCTTTGTGGCTCTACATGGATGCTGCTCCATCCCCATCTCCATTGCTCCCACGAGTCTCCCCCCTCCTCCACCTCTCTGTCTGCAGCCAGCAGGGCTCTCCCCCACAGGGTGCTCCGTCTCCCCCCATGATGGCCAGGTGCTGACTTTGCTTGGGGGAAGATGTCTAAACGGCTACGCGGGGCACTGGCACAGAGCAGCACCTGCAGATGGGGGCCAGGGCTGGGGCAGCGTGGTGGTCCCCAGCTTCCACCAGAGCTCCCTGGCCCCGGGGGTTGGGATACCTGCCTGGGCACTGGGGGTGATGTTACCCAGGAATGGAGTGAGCTGTGTGTGATGCCACCTGCGTTCTCCACAGATGAGGCCTGGACTGAGGTGATTGATACCCTCACAGTGGCTGCCATCAGGTTTGAGATGCTGAGCACTGCTCACCGGAGTCAGGTAGGAGAGTGGTTGGTGCAGAGCCAGGGCAGGCAAGCTGTGGGAATAGTGGAACGGCTCTGCTGAGCAGCCTGGACTGCGACTTCTCCCTGCCCATAGATCACCCTGGACCTGGAGGACAGCAGCATCTCCACAAAGGGAACCAAGAGCGGTGCCTTCGTGATGTACAACTGTGCTCGGCTGGCCACGCTCTTTGACACCTACCAGCGAGCTGTGGAGCGGGGTGAGCACCAGTCCCATGACCCTCCTCTAACAGCCACTCGTGGGCTGTTCCTCACACCTGGAGCCACAGGAGCTTCTCTGGGCACAACAACAGTCTCCCACCTCCTTTCCAGGCACATATCCACCTCTGCCACCGGCGTCAGAACAGAGCTTCTCCTGCCTCCGGGAAGAGGCGAGTGCTGAGAAGGAGAATGTGGGGACCTGTGTGCCCTCAGCTCTGGTGATGGATGCTGCTGGCCCAGGAAGATCCGGCTCTCTCCAACACACATAATCCTTTTACAGGGTGAATGGCTCCTGCTCTTCAACTATCTCCTGCCCTTCCCTGAAGTCCTGCAGCAGGCAGCACAGCTGCCTGCACCCACCAAGGGGATACGGATCACAGCCAACACAGAGACAGTAAGTGCCATGTGCCGTAGCACCCATGGGTGCTGCTCTAGCAGTCCCAGCCTAGGGCAAGGCTACGTGCCAGCAGGGTGCTGCCCACCGATGAGCGATGCAGGGCTGGTGCCAAGGGAGGAGACTGCAACACCCCTGGGGCTGCTGCTGCTGTGCTTGGGGTGGGGAGGGGCCCAAGACTGGCCAGACCCCACCATGCCAGCAGAAGCCCTCTGTCTTGCAGGTGTGCAAGTTCCTGATCCAGCTCAGCATGGATTTCAGCTCCTACTACAACCGGGTCCACATCCTGGGGGTGAGTTATATGTCCTGGGCCGGCAGGCTTGCAGCCCTGCAGCCCTTCCTAGGGCTGGACTGTGGTTGTGGGGCAGCCGTGTTGGACACAGCCACTCTGGTACCAGCAGCGTGGTGCAGCCCCACAAGGACGCATACAATGGGGTGAAGAGGTAGCCAAGCCTCTAGGGCCAGCCCATCAAGGGGCAATGTGGCCACCAGCCCCAAGTCCCTGCCTTTCTCCCTGCAGGAGCCGTTCCCTCACCTCTTTGACCAGATGTTTGCCCGCCTCCGGCTGCTGGAAGCGGTGAGGGATGTGTTCCACAGCGCGCTGGCGACTCTGCACCTCCCTCCTCTCAGCCAGATCTGAGCCACCTCCGAGGAGCTGCGCCACGGTGCGACAGACACCATGACAGTGTGCCTTGAGGGGAAGGACAGGGCACATCCTCCCTGGCAGGGTGGGGGGCTGCCTGACAGACAGGCAGGGGTCAGGGCATGCCTCAGCCCCACCCAGGTGCTTCCCCTCCTGCTGCCACATTTTGAGGGTTTGGCTACACCCACCCCGTGGCTGTGCCCAGCATGGAGATGGGTGCACCTGCCACATCCACACCAGCAGAAGGGAGGGTGTCTGTGGCACCCTGTAAGCCAGGCTGGGGGGCACTGGGGGAGGCGGCACCAAGGACCAGGGCACCACAAAGCCAGGCATCAACCTTGCTTCCCTCAAAGCCGTTTATTGAAGATTGCTCCATGCTGGCAGGGAGCTCCTCCTGGCAGGCTCAAGGCCCTGGTTGGGCCCCAGGCCAGGCCCCAATAGCGGGGTTCAATACACTTGTTGCTGGACAAATGCTGTGTGTGTCTGACCCCAACAGAGCACCCTGCCCCAGGCGTAGCTGTTTGTCCTTCCCTGTGCTCCGACTGTGCTGGTTCCTGCTGCTGCACAGGGACAACCCCCTCAGCTTGAGGCAGCACTGAAGGGCTGCCCTGCGGGGTTGGTGGCTGGGCCCCAGCTGGCACAGCTCAGGTAGGCTGCCACCCCATGCCCTGCAGGGTGCTGCTACGGAGGATCAGTGTCCCCACTCATTTCAGCACAGTCCCCAGTGCTGCAGGGCCAGGGCTGTCACACAGGGCCCCGTCACACGAGGCTGTAGCCTGCACCAGTGCCTGACCAGTCCTTGGCCTCCTGCTGCCCTCAAGCTCCCAGGGCTGGGCATGGGGCTCAGCACCCTCTCAAACACGTTCCTCTCTGGGACCAGGGCCAGAAAGCCTGGCCATGGAACCCTCGCACCTTGGGGAGGAGGAACTTCTGGGCAGGGTGGGCTGATGACCTCACTCCTCCTGTACTGCCTGGGGAGCCATAGGCTAGTCCAGGAGGGGTCCCAGCTGCCTTCTCCCATGAGACTGCCAGCCTTGAGCACCCCAGATGTGGCTGTGCTGTCCCCAGAGAAGCCAAGCATGCCCGGTCCCCTCAAGAGGGGACACATCAGCATGTAGGCTGGGACAGGCTGTGGTGATGGGCAGAGCACAATCGCAGGGTGCCCTCCCCAGGCAGGTGGGGAGCAGGGTGTGACGCACGCCTGCCCTGTTACTGGGGAGCCTCTGGTGGAGGGGGCTCAGGGGGGGCCATGCCGTGCAACATCTCGAGGCCCTGCCCGCAGAGCACGCAGCAGTACCACAGCTCCCCCCCGGCCTCTGCCACCTCCCAGCAGTCCAGCTCGGCCAG